GAAGCAGAAGGAGAAGGTAACGGAGTCTGGGAGCGAAGGCATTTCAGCGCCCCAGATTTGGCTCTGCTTATCTACGCATATCCCTTCGGAATCAGAATCAGAATCATAAAACGTTGTGGGAAAGAAGGCGAAAACACATTGCGATCATTGGGGAGGGATTTTGGGACTCTGCAACTGAAAATTGCCTTCCGAAACACAGTCGATTGCAATGGGGACGAAGAAAGGAAGGAGGGGTGCGATTAATGGCGGAGAATAAGATGAACTTTGGCGGGTTTAGAAGTTGGAAAATAGAAGAGCAATAGGCGGAGCCTGGGAATTGGGAATTGGGAATTGGGATCCGGGTTGGAGTTTGGGAAAATGGCGTTTGGCAGTGATATATACTAAACTGCGGAGTGAGACAAAGCATCTTCCTTTATCCTTTCGGGTCTCTCCTTTCTCTTTTTCTCTGCTTTCCAAGTAAAAAAACGTGCAGCTCATCCATTTTTGTACCTTCTCGCTCTCAATTGACGTCAATTCCATACCATAGAATACAATAATATATATATATATATAAAATGTTATATACTTTTAAAATTCATTCATTTTATTTTTAATGTTATTTTTCTTACCTCAATAACATTACAATCAATATATTTATTAAAATGTAAACATTACTTTATATCAAAGAATTTTCATTATTTGTAAAGTTTGTGTTAAGATCTTGAAAATAAGGATTCAAATTATCACTTTTTATGTTCAAAGTATATACGTTAAACTGAACAAAGGTTAAAGGTATAGGACAAATTAGTGTTTTAATTTTTTTTTTCATAGTTGTATCTATTTTAATTAGTATGAACGTATTGTTTTAGTTTACAATTTATTTTTCGAATCATTGTTACTTTTCAAGTTCTGGTTGGTTTGATTTCTTCTTTTCCCTTTTACTAGTTATTCATATTATGTGATGTATCTGATATTAAAAAAAAATATATATAATACAATAAAACTCAAGTAGGGGTCATATCATTGACCTGGAGTTAATTTTTTTCCCCCTTCAGCTTCACGGGATTCGGGAATGATCAGCATCTCTGACTCGCTCTAGTCAGTTTCAAATTAAAAATATTTGTCTAGACACCGGTTTAACAAGAGCTCACTAAATGTGTGACGTGTCACATTTTTAGCAGTTCATAAATTTTAGTAAGTTTTTTTTTAATAGGTTCTATTTATCTAAGAAACATAGTATAAGTAAATTAATAAAAGTATTTAATATTACAAAGTCTGTATGAATTCATTCTCACTGAGGAGTAGGCAAGTATTGTCATTTTTTAATTATGGAAACTTAAAAGAACTTTCCATTGATGAGAGGGTCTCCTTTGACTTATGGATGAGAAAGACTTCTCACGCAACCATACTCGATGCCAATATAATTATTAGTTTGATACTTAAAAAAGTTGAACTTATCCTAACTATAAATTTGCTATTTTTATATTGCATTGCATCAATTTATATTTCTAAACCATTTTTTTTAAATGTACAACCATGGTTACCAATCTCAACAGTCTTTTAGTTTTAATGTTGTTTAATATTAACTAGCTAATCAATCTCAACAGTTTTTTAGTTTTAATGTTGTTTACTTTTAACTAGTTAATTTAAAATAAGTATGCAATACATGTGATAACATATTTTGTTCTACTATTTCAATATTGTACAGGCACTTTTGAAGCAAATAAGTTTAAAGAAATTGATTTTTAATAAAAAAATATCAATACAAACACTTTATTYTGAAGTTTCAACGAATCATATTTCTCACACATCGAATATTCCTGTATGCACACCTCGTCCACTGACTACGACCACGAGTAGGTAGGCAGCTAGGGGGAGGGACGACTGGGCTGCCTTTTCAATCAATCTCCGCCCGCCCCCTAATTACTAGACCAACCTGGTGCGAGTTGTAAGGAGTCTTGGTCTCGAGTTGAGCTGGGGCATCGGTTCATTCTTGTAACGGGAGCGAATGCACCGCAAGACCAGACAAGTGACTCCCTCGCCTTCCAGTGGCGGTCTTTAAAGTGAAGTCATTTCTTAAGTTAAAGAAAGAAAAATCCTCTTATTCTACGATAATCTAAGCAGCAACTCCATGAGTCCGCTCGGAACCAGTCGACTCATGAGCCATTCGTTCTCCCCTCTCGATTGTGCACGCCAACTCTCACCAAAATCCTCTATGCGCCGTGGACCCACACATGCAGGTTGGTAGACGTGGGGCACGTGCTGAAAATACGGTATTTTGAAATATTGCACTAAACTTAGTCTTGGTCCAACTCTTTATTTCGTATTTGGTGGAGATATTTCAAAATTAAATGGCACAATAGAATTAATGGAAACATTAACAATTAGTCTCTTTGAAAATAATTTTGGTGGTTATTTGGTTAACCATCTAGAAGAATAGGCAATGGTCCCTTTTTTACATCATTAATTAATTCCTAATTGTAGTGTTTATAGCATTATATTTTCATTCACATGTAACTTGTTTTTTGTTTAAAAGGCAAGTTTGAAAGTTTGAATGCATTCTCCAATCTCCGACTCCATCCCACCTATTTATCTTATTACTCAATATTTCAATAGTGATTCCACATTGACTTGCAAAAGAAAGGAACAGGGAAGAGACAAAAATTGCAATCTATTTTTATCTTTTTATTTAGTTTTGGGACGGGTTTTAGTCACACTATTTAACAAGTGAGTGGTCCATCTAGTCAAAGATTTTATTAAATTAATTATTGTTTCATATTATATATTATCTGATATTTTTTCTTAATTAATGTATCTTCAATGAACTAATCCATGAACATTAAATGTTTTAAAGTTTTTGATTTAGTATTTAAGCCAAACCAACGCAAAGACATTGGGAATAATTAAGGGAAATACTTTGAGATTTGGACCATTGTTACATTTTTTATAATAGAGACAAAAATAAAATGTAAAAGAAAAGGGAAAATTATAGATTTTATTATTATTTTTATATAAATAGCTCTTTCTTTAAATCTATAAAATTTAAGATAGTCGATAAAGGGATAAGTGTCAATTATGACTGAACTGAATTTATGAAAGTAAATGTTATACAATAATTAAATATATAATAAAAACATCATTTGTAAAGTGGAAAAGAGAGGGAGGTTTCATTATGTAAGAAATAAGATTTATTTTTTGTTTTTAATTGAGGAGAGATAAAAGACAAAACAATTTGTATATACAAATACAAACGCAAATATATAGGTATTATTTTTGTTTAAACTGCGCAAATATATAGGTATTTTTATAAAGACAAGACACCGAAAAGTAAATATACTATTTTTTTAGGTTTACTAAATTTAAATTCAACAACACATGGTCATGAATAAGTCAAATTTGCATAAAATCAATCCATAAAATAGAACCGAAGCAACATAATAGACACAAAAAATAGGCAAAAATATATACAATAGTCAATAATTTTGGGGAATTTTTAATATTTTTAAGATTTCAACTTTACCCTTCAAAAATTATGGAAGAAAAAGGAAAAATATGTAATACGAATTATACGTTTTTTCCACCAAACTATCCTCATCCAAAAGCCACTTTCAAAATCATGCTGCCTATATTAAATAACGTCACATCCATTCATAAAAAAAAAAAATAACGTCACATCCATTCATAAGAAAATGAAAAATAAAATAGATAATGTCACATTCATTCAAAATAAGATTACTAGGATGCCCGTTAAAAGAAAAACAGGAAAGAAAAAAAAAAAAGAAAACTTGGGTCCACCAGTGGCAAATTCGGATTAACGTTTCTATTATTACTTAAAATGACAAATTTGAAAATAATATTTGCAAAAAAGAAATTAAAAAAAAAAAGCTAACAATTAAACAAGGCAAACTCGAATTTTATTGGAATTATGGATTGGGCCTAAAAGCCCAAAGAATTTGTGGGCCCAAGATAAATAAACCCAACGATTGGAAAATTTCCCCGGGCGCGGGGTTGATAGACGATATCGCCGAAGCGGGCAACCTCGGTCCTCGGAGGCCTAGCCGGAGACTGCTTCAAAAATTCGAACCATCAAGGAATTGCGCGAAGATGGCGCCACATGACATCCGCCGTCCACACAAAAGGCCGGCGATCTCCGACCAGCAGAAGCGGAGGGAACTTTCTTTGCAGCGGCAACAGCAGAATCGCCGCGACGCTCAACAAGCAGCGCGTTCCTTAGCCTCCACGCTCCTCTCCCTCTCGTCCACATTCCACGAGCCTACTACCTCCGAGCCGGTTCTGGAGATTGAACTTAATGAACTCGAATCTGAAACGGAGCATTCGCCGGAACTTGTATCTGAGCATGAATTTGATGAGGTTGCTTCGAAGGAGTTCGATGTTTGCCAGGCTTCGAAGCTCAAAGGTTCAGAGGCTCGTAAGTGGTTTTCGAAGCAACTGTTGCTTCCTGAGTGGATGATAGATGTTCCTGATCGACTTAGCGAAGACTGGTTCTAACTCTTTTTCATCTCTCCTTATATTAAGTTAACTATTTACGTTTATGTTTTCTTCAACCACTATCCGGCTTGGATCTTGTTTCTTTTTAGTCCATACATCATCTGATCATCTGACCATCGCGGCCTTGGCATTGGCCTTATCCTCCATGCCTTTTCCTCCTACTTGTGTCTGTTCGTATTCTAATTCAAGTTTCTTCGGGTTGGTTTATTCTCACTCACGTCTGCTGCTTGGCTAATTGAAGCGAAACTTGAACTGCTCATTTTTGTTTGTTTTTTTTAGTGTTTCGTGCTGGTTGCGCAAATACTTATTCTGATGTCAATAACTATTCAAAAAGGAAATATAAAATAGAAGGAAAATCTCCATTTCTCTGCAAATTTTCGTGAAATGATCGAACCTGAGAGTGACATTCCTACGATGCTTTGGATATTTTTAGGTACGTATTCGCAAGGCCTTCTGGAAAACGATGCTTTGTTGTTTCTTCCAATGGAACAACTATCAGTAGGTTGCGAAATGGATCAATTCTGCATCGTTTTCCTTCTGCTCTACCCAATGGAGCAAAGAAAAGAGATGTCTCTGGATCCGGTCAATCATATTCTATTCTAGATTGTATATTTCATGAAGTAAGTTTCTCAGATTCCGTATGCCATATTGTAGGCCAATTTTATTTTACTGACAAGTAAAGATCTGAATGTCATGTAGATGGATCAAACTTACTACGTCATTGATATGATATGTTGGCGAGGATATTCTCTTTATGATTGTACAGCTGAGTTTCGATTCTTCTGGCTCAATTCTAAGCTCGTTGAGACTGGTGCTTGTGAGCCCCCATCATACTATCACAAATATAAGTTCGGCCTGGTACCTGTATATACATGCGATCAAAATGGTCTTTATGCTGCTTATACCGGAGCAGCTCCTTATGTCAAGGATGGCCTATTATTTTACAACAAGTAAGATTTATCATCAAAAAAGGATTTGAGACTTTGCTAGTTCTCCTCCTCCTCTTCCTCCTCTTAATTAGGGACTAATTTGAATTCCTTTCATGTATAATTTTCACTTAGTTGATAATCTCTGTTATCTCTTACTGAAATATTTTTAAACATTGTGGAGTGTATGTACCTGCAGGATCACATATCTAACAATTATAGAGTTATAATGTTATGATATTTATGCTTGATAATTGATACTGTGTTTCTCATTAAGTTATTTCTTTAATTTTGTGAATCTTTTTCTATGTTTACAAGTTATAACTTCATTGATCTTGTACTAAGAAGTTGTCCTTGTGTTAGGCATTCACATTACCAGCCAGGAAATACACCACTTGCATTGGTCTGGAAGGATGAGAGTTGCAGTCAATATGTCATTGACACAGATAGTAATGGACAAGTTCCAAGCCAACAGCAGGTACTTTCTCCCTAGATTTCCTGTTCCTCTTTCTATAAACAAGCAAACCATGCTAATTCTTGTTTCTCTCACTTTCTTTCTTTCTTTTTTTCTGTCGCTATCATAGTTCCATTGCAGTGGTCAAAATGATCCATTTTTGTCATCCATGACATGGATCTGCTCTCTCCTCTCATGCATTTTATAAAGCTAATTATGCGTTATTTGAATAATCAGGTGGTTTTGGAGCTACAAGGTGATGGCAAGGTGACTACATCAGATGATCCTCCTGTGGAATTTGGATGCTTAGATGGCGACTTTATCAAAAAGGTTCTGTTGTTCTAAATTTAACCCTTCCGTGGTGTCAATTAGTTTTTAAATTATTTTGTTTGTTACATTACATGTTGCTTCGACAACATTTTTGCATGCAATGTGGTCTGTGATTTAATTTAATTTTTTTATTATTTCTTTTGGGTCTGTGTATCTTCTGTGTAACTTGGCATGGTACCTATGTCACTATAACGTAGTCTTTATGTCATTATTTGGGCTCACGTTAACTGAATAAACTGTTGCTTGATATCTGCATTTTCGAAAGGGTTTGATCATTGAAATATTAACTACTGAATAAACTGTTGTTGATATTTGTATTTTCGAAAGGGTTTGGCCATTGAAATATTAACTTAATACGTGCCTATGTGGAAAAGAACTGTTGATTAATAATATGGAGAAAATAACTAGTCAGTTAACTCCTGTGATTTGAGGTGATATATATGACATTAATCTGAATTGGTTTTATTAAGGGGAAATGTTGAAGAACATGATCACAGAAAGGTAAAGTATCAAAAAGCCATTTTCTAAGTAGTCCTCCAACTGATATTGATCAAGGTTTTACTTCAAGATCCTCTATGATGAATCTTATACATTTAGTTTACAGGCATGACATTGTGCTATTTATCTATAATTTATAGAATGAGGAATTTGGTTAAGCTCTCCAATAATATAATTAGGTTTCGCTCTAATCCTCTAGGAGAGTCAGTTTCTGGGGAGGCAACAAGTTGGAGGCAAAAGTCTATAGGGAAATAGGTCAAGGAAGGGGACTGCAAAACTTTTTATTTTTCTCTTTTTTTCCTTCCCTTTTCCTTGTAGGATTGGCTTTGTAGGATTGCTGGATTTGGAATTGCAAGAACTTAATATATCTTTGATTACAAATTATGGGAGGAGAAAAAAGAGAATGTTTGGGGCTTAGTAGGTTTAATACTTCCCTGTGCAATTGGTCTCTAAGAGTTTTTGTAATTATAAGTTAGGTGTTATTCTTTTGGATTAGGGCCTCTTTCTATAGGAGTGTCCTGTGGTCAACTTTTTTTGTATATGTATATATATTTTTTATTTCTATCCATGAAAGTTTGATTTCTTATCAAAGAAAAAATAGATGATGGAAGGATAGAAAGATCAAGAGTGTAGGGACATCCTTTTCTCCCTAGCTATATTCTGCAATCTACATCAAAACCACAAGCATTTTATCAATAGTTTAGATTTATGGCCTATTGGTGACAAAGAGAGGAGGGTACGGTGACTTGGTTAACTTTGGGAGAGATTAAGAGTGGTGTTTGGTTCCGAGAGTTGTAAGTTGCCTATTCTTTCTTGTTGGCTTTCAAGCTGGACTTGCTAAAGGCGTTCAACAGATTTTTTGGTAGGGTCTGATGTACACAACTATAAACAAGACTTACTTAAGAATTCAAGCGTGATCAAGGATTTTAGATCCATAAGCTTCATTCTCTAGAAAAACCTTTCTCAAGACTCTGGTCAAGAGGATGTGGAAGGTCTATCTCACACTATTTCTGCTAAACAGGGTGTTTTTATGGTTGGGGAACAAATTCTTAATGGATTCGAATTGCAAACCAGGAAGAAAACCTTTGTGGAAATCAATTTTGAAAAGGTTTATGATCATCAACTTTTGCCATGCCATTGAGGTACTAGGAAAGTGATGTTTTGTTCCCTTTTAATTTTGAGGGATGGATAAAGGTTTAATTGAGGGCTTTGTACTTTGTAGTGAGGAGAGATAATGTCTACCAAACTCATTTCCAGCATGCGGACGGTACCCTTTTTCTGTTCAGGAAAGGAGGATTTTTTTTTCCTTTAATTTAAATAGGATCCATCATAGTTCCTGTCCTTAAGATAGCGCCTTGCTCAAGTATTAATAAGAATAAACGCTATCAGTTATGTGACTAGAATTGATCGTGAATAAGTTTAGTAGGTAGGTGTAAATGGTGGCGTGAGGTCTATTTGTTATACATCTCGTACTTAGGTCTATGTTTGTGCTTATAGCCTAGAGTGTTTCTTTCTGGGACCCTGTGGTGAAAGAGGCTCAAAGACATCTTTCATCTTGTAAGAGAGCTTACTTTTAAAAAGGGGGTGTCCCTGTTACCTTGATTTGGCCTTTTTTGAGTGGACAATTATTCTTCCTCAAAATTTTTTTCTTCCTAACCAAGTTGAGAAGATCACTTAGCCTTTTTGGATTTAAAATGGCCTCATCGAAGCTTTTTTCATGTTGATCCCTTCTCAATTTACTTTGTTTTCGCTATTCAGCCCCCCTTGCTTAGCTTAGCTATGGAAAGTTAAAATTTCAGTGAAGTCTCAAGTTATTTTCCTTGGCTTGCGATGCATGGGAGATTTAACACCATAGATTTTGCGAATATGGTTGGAAAGGATTAAAAGGGTGCCCAAGAGTATGAAAGGGTTTTGGGGTTTAACTCACATCAATAGCCTCTCTTGGGTCAACGCCACCGAGAATTTTTTTTCAATTTAATTTTAAATATAATTCAATTGTAAAGATTTTCTGCTACTTATCACCAAACCAACATTTGAGGTGCATTCTTGCCTGCAAGTATATAACTGATATTTCTTGAATTTCAGTCAGGGTTATCTTCAAGTAATCTATTGCGATTCACCATTGGCGATGGAGGGCTGACCATTGTGGATGGGAGAATTCAGGGGGCAGATTTACATTACATTGGCAAGGTCAATCGAGCTCGAGCCTTTGCAGACAGTTACTCCAAGGTTAGAAATTATGCTAAATATCATACTTGTAGGGTCAAATCACGTTCATAGGAAATCAACTGACAATTAGTTTTATAATTGAAGACTATTACAGTGCCTTTTTGAGATGCAATGGCTATATTCGGCAGGCCGTAATGATAGGTGGAATGCCTTTACTTCATTATTTGTTTATTTCCGCCAAGCTCTTTATGGAAAGTACATGTGCAGGTTATGTTTCAACATGCGGCTCGTCATTCACCTTTAAAAATAGACGATCTATTAGCATCCATCAATTCATCAAATGATGGAGAAGTTCGTGATACTGACATGGTTGGATAGTGGTTGATAGTCCATTGTACTGGTGAAAGATTCCTCCGGTAAGAGACTGTTAACTTATGATGGTGCCTAACATTTTATGAAGGTTCTCGTCAATTCACAAGCAACCATGGTTCGATATAGGCAAGGAGATCTTGCGGAATCTCGTGTAGCATTCTGTTCAACCCATAGTCGAGGAAATGCTATTTGGTGAGCGGTATTCTCAATCTGACTTGGATACTTATAAACTATCAGAGTTCATGGGAAGTCGGTGCATCTCTCGCTCCAATCGACATGACATCCTTTGAGAGGTAATCCTTAAAAGTGAATGTTCGTAGATAATTTTCATCGGGATTTAATATATTGTGAGCTGTGAGTAACGTGACAAAAACGACTCAAAGTTTTAATGTTAAATGGATAAGCAAACTTCAGGTGATGGCCTTTCACCAAGAAGTGAAGTGCTGGATTGGTCTACAACTAGTAGGTTTTAACTACTGGGCAACACAACGCCTCCTCAGGTCTTATTATTGGAGTTTCATACGTCTCTTGAAAGTGACTTGAAAACATTTTTCTTGTAGTATTAATTATTATCCAACTTCGCGACATCGACAACCTGATGATTCTGGAAAGAACGGAAAATCTTTACTGGAGATTCTGTAGGTACACTCTTAACAACGCATCTTTTTGCAATATGGGACACTTTGGAGTGTTTAATATAATTAATTTTAATAATGACATATGGATAGGGTAATTATAAAAACAAAAATGTATAGTGATTGGTTAGAAAAATCATTTGTTGAATAGGTAAATCTTTTTCTTATTGAATTTTAAAGCAGTTTTTTTTTTAAATTTAAGTAAAAAGGTTAGATTACAAACTCTTCGAATTTTTAGGGCTAATATAACTTAAAACAGGTCAAGTAAATTTCTAAAAGCTTTCATGCATCTATCTAATAGATCTCTATTTTATTTTATATCTTTTAAAATTTACAGATCTATTAGATACAAAATTAAAATGGGACAAAATTCAATTTCTAATAAGTTCATAAATTTTAGAAAGGTCAAATAAATCTTGTAGAGACTTATTAAATATAATTGAAAATTCAAGGCATGTTAGACACTTTGAGAATTAAGGGACAAGTGAAACTTTAAATATCTATTAGACAATTTTAAAGTTTAACTTAGTTAGGAAATAAGTTCATCATCCAAAAACAAAAAACACTATCTTAGTTGACTTATAATAAAAATGATTATAACTAAAAAATGATTAAAATCTCCTACTCAACAGGCTATTTCTAGTGCAGCCTAACCTATAATAAATGTAAAATCTAATTGTTTCTCCAACCAATTCACAACCCTGAATGTGCACTAAAAAGACTACGAATATGTATAATTCATAATCCAGCCGAGTACGAAGGCTCAGGCTGCCAAAGTTGTTGGTTGACAACTGTCGGGAACACAGGCCAAGACGTCTCTGTAGTCTCTTGAAATGGTAAAGTAATCATACACCTTACCATCACTGCTTTTCTTGTACTGGAAAAGGAGAGAGGAGCGGTTGAATGCTGTCAACTTCACGAATCCAAAATCGTAGTCTCTGTAAAGACTCCATTTCGGGATCTCTTGGCTGAATGGAGATAAGTGGCTCCCTGCTCCACCAACAACCACGTGGATCGTGCCATTCATAGTGCCCAAATAGTGCGTTTTTTCTGTATTCACGCATTGGTGCTACACCAACACCAACACCAACACCAACACCAACACCAACACCAACACCACCACCCATCCAGATTTTCAAAATAATTTTAGTAACCAAACAAATAAAAAAAAATTCTATTTTTATTTTTTTAGCACCAAATAAACAAACAAATAAAATTTTGATTAGAAGTAATTTGCTAAAATTTATGTAAAACCCTCCTACCTTACTATGGATTTTATTTCTCAAAATTTAAGCTCCTTGCCACTAAAGTTTCTTTATTATGCTTTTCACCTTTCTATAATGCATTCTTTTGTATTCTAATCTACTTTTAAAACCATTGTTTTTGATATCAGACTTCTCCCAATGATAATGCTTTTGTTTTGATAAAATCTTATTTACTGGCATTGTTCTTTATTTTCTAGACTACTTACAAAATGGATCTTAAAATAAAAAGTTGTTTTTTAAATTGAGATAATATGTTGAGAGTGGTTTTGAAAACATATGGATAGTTATCAAAAACAAAAGCCAAAAACAAAATTTTATGTTTATTTATTGACTTTTTCTTTGTTTTCTAATTTACTTTCAAAATCATTTTTGAAATTGCAGCCAAATTTTAAAAACTAATTACTAACTTCATTTTTGTTTTTTTAAAAAGAAAAAAGTAACAAAAAGAATATTGGTACATGGTAGGATATATCTTAAGCTCGTTTTTTATTTAAAAAAAAAAAACAATCCACCATCAAACAAGGTTTAAGAAAAGTAGTTTTCAGAAATCTATTTTCTGTTTTTGAATATTGACTAAAGTTATAAAAATGTTTACAGAAAATGTGAAAAGCAAGTTTTCATAGGCTTAAACTTTTAAAATAGAAAACTAAAAACATAATCATTATCTTTTAATAGATTAGAAAACAAAGAAAAATGTTAATAAATAAGTATTGAGTTTTTTTAAAAAAATATATATTATGAAACAGTGGGCACGGGGTTAAGTCGAAAGTTGAAACGAGGTATGGTCTAAATATTTGGTGGAGCATTTGATGGAAAGTGGGTTACCTGGTAAATTGGACATGTTCTTTCGTAATTGTGGACATGTCCATAGAAGGCAATATCGACTCTGTACTTCTGCCAAAGTTTCTGTAGGCTCTCCCTTCCCATGGGTTCCTCGTATGAGCCTTGCGACGCATACCAATCGTTGGAAGAATAGCCCACCACACGATGAGCAGCAAATATCAACCAAGGTTGTTTTTGTCTATCCGCTGATGCAAAGCACTGCTCTATGAATTTGTACTGTTCTGTGCCCTCTCGCCAGTCATGTTCAGTGTCACCTACACAGAACCGGAACAGCCCGTAATCTGTCGAGTACCTGCGTACACATACATCAAGGATTCTGTGAATTTGTGGTTAGTTTGAAAATGAATAAGAATTATGGTAAAAAAAAATACTACAAAGTACCATGGTTTTAACTTTATGGGAGTATTTGAAAGTGATGTTAGAATGAGTGATTTTGAAAAAATAAATTTAAATACAATTGAATTTTCAAAATTACCCTACAAATCATACCTTAAAATCAATTTAAAGTGATTTTAAACTTTTCTAAAATCAATTTTTTAATTTGTAAAACAGGATTAATAAAAAGGAAAGTGATTTTGACCCTAGCAAATTTTAAGTTAAAAGTTTGTGTGGCATGGCAAGGAGTTAAAAGTTGAATAAAATAAACCAAAGAAAGAATCGTATGCTTATTTGCACAAATAGTACTAAGGACCTCTATTTTGGATAATTCCTGGCCACTACTCATCCTCTCAATTAGCTAACTTATTTAAGACACTAATTGCAGAGGATGATATTTCAGTAGTCTAAAATGAACAAATCCTCCAATAAAACAAGTGCACAGTTTGTTTGTGAAGCAACCTATGAAATTTAGCATTATTCAAGGAATTATTATCTTACCAGAACTTCGCTCTGTTTTCAGCAGGAAAATAGAACATGGTCTCGGCCGGGACTCCACACTCCCCACCTGAATCCATGTTTGCATAGAAGGACCCAGTATTTGGCCAGTCACGCTCATGGTTACCACTGCAAGAATGAAATTGGAGGGGCTTAAGAATCATAGAAGTAAATGGTGTAGAAATCATTCTCATAGAAACAGTCGAGTAATTGACATTAATAACCTTGCAACCATGTAGGGAACCCTAGATGCAATGGGCTCGACCTGTGCAGTAAATTGGTCCCACTCTGAGAGGTACCCATTAGCGTAAGATAGGTCTCCAATATGAAAAACAATGTCAATATTGTTCAAGTCTTTGATGAGCTGGTCAGTGGTGTTCAATGCTCCAGGTTGATAGTTGCTATACTCATTTGATCCATCGCGTTGTCCCTGAAAGCTATGGTTATAGTTAAAAATCCTTTTCCAGTGCCTTGTTCCAAAAATTCAACTTCAAAAGAATATCCCAAACAGAATGCGAACTCAGTAAATATTCCCCATGGTAAAGGCTGCATTTGAGTTCAAAATTCTTGTCCAGATTGTACGATAGTTTGTGACGTATGTTATGTCATCTATGTTACAGTTACCAGTACAACAATGGCAACTGAAATGGCAGAATAATGAAGGATTAGGTTACTCCTTTTCAACAAATCATTTAAAATGTTAATTGTCCCTCAAGGAGTTAGAATGTGAAGTTGCAGAACATCCTCTCAAGGAAATACAGAATTATCTAGTCAATACAGGAGATAAACATAGGCCAGGAAGAGGTGTCAAAATTAAGCTAACTAACTAAAATTCAGATGTTTCATTTTAGTTCATTTACAACATTTTCCTTATATAAACATCATTCTTATCTAGCTATCTTGGGTATAAGCGATATAATTAAATACTTTATGGTACCTTCCCCATATCACCAAATATAATCACATGCTGTAACGATTCTTCTCCAGGATGTGGAGACGACTTGAATGAATAGCTCTTGCTCCAAATATATGATCCATCAGACAAGCGATGGCCCAATCTGTACGTGTACCTGGTGAAACCATCATGACAATCCTTAGTGTGCATGATCAGGACATTAATTATGGTTCGTGTCAATAGCTTTAACCATTGATACATACACAGCGTTTGGCCATAAGTTTTGTAGGTAACTAGTATGAAAGAAACCAGGATCACGCCAGCCAACAGTTCGTGCAGGTGCATCTTCAATTAAAAAAAATGCCATCATTCAACATGTCAAAAGTCCCAATGCAATGTTCAGTCAGGATGAAAAGAATAAAATCATACATTTTGCAGAGTAATTATCTCAAAAATGGAATAGGAGAAAATCATCAGGACGTTTAGAAAAGATGTGTAACAACCATTCTACAAGAATATTAAATATTCGTGGCTTGATGAGATTATGAAATAAAACCATTGTTAGTTGTCTATGCTAAGAAGCCACTTGATGGAATTGACAAATCATTTCCAGGTGAATAGCAGAAATCTCAATGATATCAGAACCACAATTTAGTGAGCTGACAAATAACATAAACAATCCAGCAAACGTGATTGGTTTGAATCTTGGCAAACGTAGCCTTTGTTTTAAGTGAATTTATGAATGGAAGCAGCAAAATTAAAACATAGCAACGACATAAATACCTAGAATGGCCAGGAGCAAGGTGATCTAATGGGTCGAACATGGCAAATTAATTCTCCAATGAATTTGAGGTTAGTTGCAACGGTTTGGTATTAAAAATCAATGATACTCAAATGCGAGTGAATGGTAAAAAGATATATAACTTATCAATTGAACCCTTTTGAAACAGTATTCTAATTAAGGGAAAAAGAATAAGGTCTAGAAAGTTTCAACTGATAGCTCGTATTTTGTTGTTTTAAAAAACAACAGTGAGTTATTAACCTAGAAGGTGCAATATAGACTCAAGACTTGCTTGAATTAATCAACGTACCACACATGCTGTTCCTACTAAATGTCAGTGTCCCAGCTGGGGATTTCGTCTGTGTCTCTCCTTTTAGACCCCATTCAACAAACGGAACAGCTTCATTTATATCATACCCACTTGTCCAGGTTACTGTCATCTGCAAAAATCAAAAGAATTCCATTGTTCTGCCGCTATAGATACTTAAATCTTGCCGACAACTATAGAAGATGTATTTTTCATATGTTGGCAGTAAATAGGAGTGCAATTTTGAAGACATTTATTGACATATATTAGCAATGACTATCCAATTGATTAAATTTTTCTTAATTTGTTTTAACGGTAATTGAGAGAACGTGGTGATGTGGATTGAAATGAAATCAGATTAGGATAAGAATATCCTTCAAGATTCTTGACTTCTGTACCACTGTTGACTTCTTTAACTGTCCTCTACCAAAAGTTTCCCACAATAAAATGAAAGGAAATCTAAGGAGTTGGATTAACTTACTTCATTCCATAGCTTTCCATGTGCAAGGCGTGAAAACAATGGCGCTTTAGGATTCTTAAATGATATGGAATTTGAAACAGCAATAAGCTTGGGCTGTGCATATTCAATTACTCCATACAATTTAGACCAGAAGAGAAAATTAATATCATAATATATGAACATAGTTACATCGGACAAGAAATGAAGTCAAACAAATTTAAAACTAAAAATTTAAGAAAGATCAAAGTTCAGATAATTGAAGTGAACAAGAGAACGAGAAGAAATAACAGAGGGATGGAGAGAGAACAAACATTTGAAAGACCTCCTGAAAATAAAGCAAATGAGAAGTCTGCTCGCTGATTAATCAACTGGAACACCAAAGAAGCTTTCCCCGTCCTTGCATAATTTGGATTGGAGTAGTTTGCATAATTGAACTGAAAAATAGATTGTTTATAGAGTCATATAAGTTTTTCGTTTCAAGAATTATAAAAGCATATATTCGATTGCAAGAAGTTAAATTTCTGATTTTGAACACCTTTATTGGGCTTGAGCAGATTAATGGAGTTTGAACCTTTTTATTTGAAGAAGGACAAGCTGATGAGCTGCCACAGTGAAACAAAATTCTTTCAGTTTTTGCTACTACTTGTAACAATTTTCCCCTTCATAGTGAGTCATTATCATTGGATCAAACCTAAACATGCTAAAGAAGAACATTATAAACTTTTAGTTTTACGTATGACCGTGCACACAACCAGATTTTTGCATACTAAATCATGGAATAAGGAGTTGTGACATACCTAAACTTCGCAGGCGAAAACACTGCTATCCAATCATCTGCAGAGGGTTCAGGATGTCGAAACTTTACAGTCACCCACTCGGAACCCTCGCCCTGAAATAAACAATTGAAATAGAATCAACAAATAAACAAGCGACTTTTAAGAAAATTACAATATCTAGGAAAAGCATAAACCAGCTACTTCTGTTCAGTAACCTCTCCGTGACGATACAGATGGAAAATCAAATATGAAGAAAAGTCCCGGTTAAGACCATATTTTCTGAACTCAGACATGCAAACTGAGTTGACGAAAGAAAATATAAGTCGGGACAGAATGTAAGGATCAACTTAAAAAGAACAAAAAATAATTAAGCAACTTATCCCCGATAAAAATAAAAAAAATGAAACCAAATCAACAAATAAACAAGCAACTTATAAGGTTACAATATCTCGGAAAGCATCGTCCGGCAATAGCCACTTCGTTACGATGCAGATGGAAAATCAAATACGAAGAGAACTGCCGGTTAGAAGCATATTTTCTGGATTCAAAAATGCAAACTGAATTGACGAAAGGAATGTAAGTCAATATAGCGGTGCTACTTAGAATCAACAAATAATTAAGCAACTTATATCCCAGGGATCCTCGCCCTTGAAATATAAAATTGAGGCAGAATCAACAAATATACACGCAACTTATAGAGAAAGTTACAATATCTTCAGCTACTGCTGTTCAGTAACCACTCCGTGACACTGACGATTCAGATGGAAAATCAAATATGAAGAGAAGTGACGCTTAAAAGCATTTTTTCTGAATTCATAAATGCAAAACTGGATTGACTATAAGAAATTACACAGAAACTAAGAAGCAACTTATAAAGAATCATCAATATCCCCGGTATCCTCGCCCTGGGAACATAAAATTGAACCAGAATCAACAAATAAACAAGCAACTAAATAGAGAAAATTGCAATATCTCGGAAAAGCATAATCCAGCGACTGCTGTTCAGTAACAACTCTGTGATGATGGAGATGAAAAATCAAATAAGAATTAGTACCGGTTAGGAACTTAGGATCATATTATCTGAATTCATACACGCAAAACTAAATTGACTGAAGGTAATATAAGTCAACATAGAGTAATCAGAACTATCGAACTAAGCAAAATCAAATTGGAGTTAGGAATGGCAAAATAAACAACAGAAGACGGCATGAGAATGCAGCTGAGTAGAGATAATTACATTGAGGCCGAGAACAAGCGGCGAGGCTCTAATGGAAGCAGTCTTTCGGAGTGCGAGAGTAGCCTTGTATACATCAATTTTGGAGAGGGGCTGGTGTTCATCGAGGCGATGGCTATGCGCGGGGAAGCGGATACATAGAAGAACAACAGTGATGAAGTGAAGGCTTCGAATTCGAAAGCTCGCGGCCATGGTAGAAACTTGGAGGTTGATGATTGGGCCAGTAAATTTAAAGAGAGGCCCTCGGATTTAACCAGGCGGGAGGCCCCGGGATCGAAGGGAGTGGTGCCGTTTGGATTCGTAGAAATCGTCCTTGTTTTTATAGTCAATGCCAACGATAATTCTCCAACTCTCGTCTCCAGCTATGTTCCAAATTTTCAAATAAAACAAAAAACAATATATATAAATTTTTTTTCCCTTCTTCTCTCGACTTTTGATCACGAATAGCTCTATTTTATTATTTTGAAAAAAATATATATATATTATTTACCTTTAAACAAGTTGTATAATTTTTATGGTAAAATTTATTATAATTTTTATTTTCTACTTTTTTTTTGTTAATTCAGCCACTAATTTTAATTTTAAAAGTAATACAAAAGCTCAAGAAACTTGCCAATTTAATGAAAATCAATAATTTTAACAAACCAAAAAAATGCTCAGTGTTTTTCTGTCCATCATATATTTGAAATATATGTTTTATAATTTATTTGACCATGCTTTTTTAGAGACAATACTTCTAAAAGTTTATGATAAATATTACGATACTTATCCAATTTTAAAGTCTATTTTGATGAATTGGCAACATTCTTTCAATAATTAAGAAAATTTGAAAATTTAATGTTAGATTACAATGTTTAATTAATACCAACATTAAAAAATATATATAATTTGAATTTTGTACATGTTGAGCTCGATTTTAAAGGGGTTACAAAAATCACATGAATTCTTTTATATATTCTGAAGTAAATAACAAGAACAAAAGAAATCTGTGGAAAACAAAACAAAAATAAAAATCAGAATTCGATAATATGTACTATTAATAAGTGTGGTATGATGATTGAAGATGGCTTGTGAGATTGACCTTTTGTTTCCCTTGGTTGAAAGATAAAAATAACATTAACTTTTAGTTTTAACCTACCTTGGCAAAAAGAGTTTAACAAATCACACATTAGTCTAAAAAAACAAGGGACGAAGCACCAGCTTACTTGAGTTACTCTCAATTGATTTTATCTTCGTTCATTTTAGTTGGTTTAAATTAGTTTGGTCGATTTGGCTGTGAGGTTAATCTGATAAGGTACTTTCTATAAAGACCAGTCTCATCGAGAAGGACACGAATCGCTACACTTCGCTTGTTTCTATATGATAATATGAATCTTGGTTTCTGCACTCCTTGCCCTTTAGTTATTAAAATTTGATATTTCACTACGTATTTGTTTGCACTAAAATATAGTAAAAAAATTCACCAAATTAAAAGATATTGTTTGAATTCAAAAAGAGTGATCGAACTCCTCCACAAGTATTTTGCTTTTGATTACTTGATTAGTACCACTATATTAATATTTTTTTTTATGATGATAATGCCAAGGCCATTTTCCCTATCAAGGAAGATCCAAAAAATGTCACACTAAGTTTGCAAGACAGACCATTACCATCAAGTAGTAAAAACAAAACAAAGTATATATTTTGAGGGTTGGTTTGTTTGAAAGTGTGGTGGGTTTGGCCTCGTCCATGTGCCATTTCTGAATGCCACCGTCAAAATGGCATCTCCATTTTTGTCTTCCATTTTTAAATTAATATATAAATTCAAATATTATCTTTCCAAAAGAAAAAAAAAATAATCACAACAATAATTGCAATATTCCTTTAAATTTTTCTCCAT